ACACACACACACACACACACACACATACACACACACACACACATTATACTATAATCAGAGAGTTTACAGTATTACTGTAAACCCTCTCTGCTATAATATTATACAACAATAAACGGACACACAAACAGACTTAACTTCGCACAAGGAGTTTATAATTACAAGTTTCAAACTCAGCCTCAGACCAAAAAGCATCCGTCAGCAGAATAACTAAAAAAAACATGTTGTTTTTCACTGTAAACTGCGCAGATTCTCAAACAACGTTCCAGAAAACAAAATGATCCAAACATAATTATTTTTTCTGAGAAAAAGAGCACTCGTCAGCAGAAAGTTGGTAGAACACGTTATGTGTTTCTATTAACTGCGCAGATTCTCTAACTACGTTCTACAACACAAAATGATGCAACCCTCATGTTTTAGTTTCCCCCCCCCCTCCCCCGATCTTGCTGATATAAAAACGTGTTGACTTAGCAATACTTTTTATCTCACCCCTTAAACCCGGACAATTGCAGACTTTTTTTCCCCCGGAAAAATATTATCTCAGAATTTTGCGCAAACGATAAATGCCCGAATCCTGCTTCCCGCCACAGATCCGCTTGGAATGGCCCATCGCACTATAATTCCCTACAAACCTCATTTTTCTCCACGACGCGGCGGAATCAGGCGTTCGTTAATTTTTGGGCTTGTGGAGTTATTGGTATCTTCTGAAAGCTGATTTCTTGCCTTGTCTTCATTGGCATAGGTATCCATCTATCTTGAATAGAACTCAAGATATTTGCGATTGAAGGAAGTGAGGTCGCCAGGTTTCAATGGTGAAATAAGCGAGAAAATGGCCACCAAAGTTTGGTAACTCCAATAGATAAGGAGTCCGTGAAAACAGTTTTTAAAAATGACGTATTTTGTGCTTTTAATCAAGTGTTTTTTATGTGGACATAAAAGAGGTTGAGCCAAAAAATTAAAATGTATAAAAATGTCCTAACTGGCGGGAAAATATCTGTTTCTCCGATTTCTGAAATTTGACGAGCGCCTGGTTTCACAACGCTGCCTTACATTTTTGTTTTCTGTGTGTTATCTTCTGGCGCCACACCCCCCTCCACCCCACCCCTCCACCCCTTCTCCAAAACTCCGGAGAACCTATCTGCATCAACAAGCCTTAAGCAAAAGTGCTAGCTAACGTGAAAAGTGCTGCTCCAGTAGTTTTTTGTTTTGTTTCTTTTTTGGTTGTTTGAGTTTGTTGTTGTTGTTGTTGTTGTTGTTTGTAAAAGTGTCTTATCATTGTATGTTCGTGAGGCCAGCCTATCCTGTATAAATGGACGCCAACTGAGCTGCTCTACCAAATAGAGGCAGCGACTGTGGGGTAAGTAAGCTATAGTTTGTTCACTTGCTGACTGTTAAATAAGCTATAGTTTGTTCACTTACTATAGGGTAAGTTAGCGGTTTTTCTTTACCTCTATAAGAACGTAGAGGTCACTTCTGTCCTATCAGCAACAAAGCAAAGACAATGTTACGATACATTTTTACCCATCACATTCAATTGTTCCCGTTTGTTTTTTGTTTTGTTTTTTAAGCAGAAACATAGATGCCTTTTGCATAGTATTCATGTTGCTGTTTGTAAAATTTTGTAAAATTTATATCAGAATAGGAAATTATTTTTTGCTGTTTAAGATGCTATGCTCCTTTTTTAACGGCCCGCAAACAGGGCAGCATCCTATTATGTCCAAAAACGGCACATCTTCCGACAATTTCCAAAAAACAGCACGTCTTTCAACTTCCTAGTCTATCTTGACTTTAAAATTTACCACGTCCTCTCTTCTGTGAATTTCCTGTCGCCCAAAGGCTTAACCAGTCGCGTGCGGCTAAAGGTCGATTCACATGGAGCGATGTGCGTTTCTGCTATTTCTGGAAAGAGAGTTGCAAGAGAAAGCAAACTTACCGCTGCGACAGACTTCTTCCTTTGTGTCCTGTACAAAATGATCAACACTCCTACTGTAGATTTCGCTTAGATCAATTCACCCTTATGTGAGAGTTGTTACTCTCGTGAAATTGAAGATGAATTTCACTTTATTTTCTACTGTCCAAATTTTGTTCATCAAAGGAAATTGTTAATTCCTCCCAGCCAAACTCGCCCTGTGACAGAAATATGCAATGTTTGACCTATGATAAGAGATATGTGCACAACCTTTTGCGTTTCATTTTGGAAGTTTTATTGAACAAAAGAGTGTTTTATACGATGTTTTATACAAAAGCCAATGGTCTTGAACTCTGAATTAACTTACTTACTTACTTACTTACTGCTTAGAAATGACGGAGTGCTTTCTATACTTTAAGGAGAAAAAAAAGGAGGTGAGTGTTTCTAGCTTCCTCATAAACCAAAAGAGGGTAAATACCAACCACCGCTGTTTGATACGGTTGTTGTGATGTTTAAAGGCAAAAATACAAAGCATTACATTATTTTAATATTTGGAATTTTCAATTCAGTTTTATTTTTCATGCAATTATAGAAAATAGTGGAGCAATACTATGATAGCGACTTCGTGTAAAAATACTAAACGTAAATGATGTGACAAACTATAGGGGCATCAGTCTACAGACTGCCTAGAGGTTAAGGTGTTGGCCTCTCATTCAAAGGTCCCGGGTTCGAATCCGGGTAGTGACCGAAAAGTTTTCTTCTCTAAAATTGTCTCCTTTCACCCCCTTTCCTGCTCTCCAGCAATGCTCTGTCGTCTGCTTTCTGCACCCACCCCCTCACCTCCTTTGCCCCCTCCTCTGGGCTCCTGAATCTTTCTGCAGCCTTTCCACTGCTACTCCTTGAGTCCTCCTTACTGTTGTCTTTCTGCCACACCCCTCATCTTCTGGTAGGAAAGATCTACACCTAGCCTTCTCGGACAAGGGCGAAAAATCTAGGAGGACCCGTGTGCAAGTTGCGCACGTTAAAGATCCCTTGGTGGTCTAAAATCGATAAGAGTAGGCGTCGGCCGCCACCCGGGCAAAATTCAAAATTTCCGGCCAACTGAAAATATTAGGTGTGTCCCGCGCGCTCATATGACCTTATGCAGTTGTGAGCGCCGTAAAACACTTACCAAAAAAATGTTATATCCGTAACTTAAGTCCACAGCAATAAACTGATGAAGGTGTCCTCAATCTTGAGTCACTGGCCCGTTTTAGACCATATTATTTTACAATAAATCATATAATATTTTCTCTCCAGCTATTGGTTTTAAAATATATGTATATATATATATATATATATATCTAAGGTTGAGGTAATATTCTATGTACGATTTATTGACAAGAAAAAACTGCAGGGTGATCCAACAAAAAAAAGAACAAGTGATACAGCTTTTTGGAAATATTTTCCTCCACTCTGAAATTTTACGTTTCACATTTGTACACTTTTGGAAGTTAAAAGTAGTTTGTCGGATATTCATTTTAGATAATTCCTCAGAATGTTTTGCTTTTCATAGCGCGTAAATTTAATAAAAAACCAAAGCATTTTCAGCTATAACCCCAGTTTTGTAGCCTGACACACTAGTTCGCATCAGGCCTATCATTAAAAGTCCCAATGATCGCGCCATATTGCAAGATACAGTAGTTTAATAGGCCAACAGAAATTTGCAGATAGTTTTTCTCAAGTTTCCTTTGGCTGCTGAGATCATGATTAAGATTAGTAACGAGCAGAGAGCTTTTTGTATAGTACATTTCCTTACTCATTTCGCAAGTTTCGCACAAGGCAGGGTAACAATGATAAAGTGTCCTTAATGCATTCTTTGGTGTCAAGGGTGGAAATGGTCCCTCGGTTAGGACGTGTAAAGAATCAGAACAAAACTCCCAGACAAAACGACCACGTTAGATCAAACACACACCGTTCGCGCCCTTTTTAACGTCACTAGGGTGCACAATTCGAAAGATGAATCCCATGAGACGTCTGTCTGTAGACGATGTCTGCAGCAATGATGTCAGTTTAAGCATTTATTTTAGCATCCGTGCAATCCAAATAAAGACTAAAGGAAGAAAATGGCATAAGTCCCAATTCCAAAATTTTACATTTTTCTGTTTTGGTCAATTATCTGTCTTATTCTGTTTAGTTCACAAAACCATATTTAGTTTGAAACAGCTGTAGCCACGTACTGATAGCACATTCCAAACAGCCGAACAAAAAAAAGAGAAAAAGGGTGGCAGTAGTCCATATTATGGACAATTGGAAGAAAAGCCATCGTCTCCAACATTTTATATGACTAACGGTAGAACGGCAGTCTTCTTCAACATTTTGATGTGACTAATGCCGTCAAATCTATGGCAAGCTGGCCAACTGTTTTAAGCCCAGAGAGCAATTAATTTCAAGAAAGATAAAGAAAAAAGAAAAAAAGGGAAAAATAAGACAGAGCAAAAAACAACAACAAAAAACGTTAACAACAAAAGGAACAAAAAACGGTTTCATTAAAAACCAATTGTATCCTCACCACGTATCTTTTCTGACTTGTTTAACATATTATTAAAGAATTATTCGACAAAATATTTCTCGATCACAAGCAACCTCTACCATACATTAATAGACATCAATAAAAACAAATGTTAACACGTTGCCCATCGGCGACGGTGTGATATATAGCAGCAAAAGTGTTGCAGCATTGATCTCCTTTTTGGCTTGTGCACTTGTTAAAATGTTTCCTTTCTGGGTGGTTTGAGTGGCCTTCGAGGTCAAATATCAGTTTGTTTACAACAATAATACTGGAGTAATTTTTGGGTTCGTAAAATGTCGAGTAGACCTAGCATGAGTGCTTTTTTCTTTCTTACCCCAGGATGAGAATTCGGGTGATGAATGAGCTAGATCTAATGTTTTCAGTTTCGATTCTAATTCCTTTTTTGGTTAACATGCTATCTTCCCTTTCAATTTTCTCAGCATGCTGAAAATTTTATAATGGCTGGGGTATTTATGCCGAGATACAGGTGTAGTACTGATGTACAGCATCTGCATCCTGGTCCGTGGGGACAAGTGTTGTGCACTCTGCGCGCTGTGTCGGTGGAAAGTGTTAAATTTGACGAGCTAGCCGATGAAATGTGTTCTTGTATGAATGCTTGTTTTTTGTGTGTTTTTCTGTAGACTTCCCAGCAAAAGTACACGACGATCTTTGTGAACAGAATAGCCTGCAGTACAAGAAACATGGACGCCACCTGGACATTCATCACTAAGCTTATTTTGGCAGCGGCCCTGGTGATGTCTTCCAAAGCATGGCGTCTCAATGTGACGTCATCAGAAATCGACATCGGTAAGACAGCTCAAGTTTCCCTGAACTGTTTCAACCAGTATCAGCAGCAGGACATCTCAGACCTTCTCATGATGAGAATCCAGAAAAAACAGCTGACCGGATGGTCCAGTGTCGCGGAACTTCGTCACGGCGATGTGGACGTCAGACTCACAGCCAGTGACGTGACCGCTACGGGTAACATTGTCTCCGGTGCGAACAGCTTCATGCGGCTTACCTGGCCACTGGCGACCAACGACACGATCGGTCTGTACCGTTGTGACGTAACCTTTCTGAATTCCCATGGCAGCGTCGGGTGGCAGAAAGGCCTACCTACTTCCATCTCTCGTAAGAGTGACGTCACTGTTCAGATCCTGAGCGAAATGGTGGACGAGACCAAAAGACAATGCACGCAGCAAAAACAAGACATCCAAGCTTACGTAGCAGTGGCCATAGCGGAGAACAAGAAACACTGTCTAAAGGAGAAACAAGACGTTTTCCAGAACATGACAGTCATACTCAAGGCGCTTGAAGTGAGTTTTCTTAGTAGCAAATTGGCTAATCATATTATTTGTTCCATAATCCTGACCAGTACACATTTCTGTGAAGAGCTTAGAGATGTGTGCACACCGGAATTAGCGCTAAAAGTGATGGTGGTTGGTTGCTTCTTCTACTTCTTCTACTATTATTATTATTATTATTATTATTATTATTATTATTATTATTATTATTAATAATAATATTATTATTATTATTATTATTATTAATATTATTATTATTAATATTATAAATATCATTATTATTGTTGTTATTATTATTATTACAGACTCTGGGACACACGGTGGAGGCCAACAAGCGAGAGTGCCCTCACCAAATGCTCTCCCAAAAACGTCAGATTCTGGAGACCGTGACGGCAGTCTTGGAGAGTAACCAGAAAGAGGTTCTACAACAGAGCCAGCGCCTCCTGGCAAACGCTTCAGCCACAATGGGAGAAGTACAAGCCAGTTGGGAGCAAAGGTTGAGCGATGTTGAGGACAAGCTACGGGTGAGAGTCGTTCACCGATGGATGTATTCCCATACTTTTACTGATATCTTCAAATACTTTCACTGTTTGATATCTTCCTATACTTTCAGTGTAGGATATCTTCCTATAATTTCACTTTTGGATATCTCTTATACTTTCACTGTTGGATATTATCCTCTTATACTTTCGTTGTGTGATAAATTGATTGATATAATATAATAGAGAGTGTGATAAACTGATTGATTGAGTATGTGATACATTGGTTGACAGAGTATGTTATAAACTGGTTAGTGGAAAATGTGATAAAATGATTGATGGAGTGTATAATAAGAGTATGTGATAAATTGGTTAATTGAGAGAGTTATAAACTAATTTATATAGTATGAGATAAACTGGTGATAAAATAATTGATAGAGTACATAATAAATAATTAGTTAATGGGGTATTGGTTAAAATGATTTATGGGGTGTGTGATAAATTAGTTAATAGAGTATGTGATATATTGGTTGAGTGTTATAAACTGATTGATATAGTATGTGATAAATTGGTTAATTGAGTGTTATAAACTGATCGATATAGAATGTGATAAATTGATTGATGGAGTAGGTGATAAAATTATTGATTAAGAATGTAATATGTGATAAGTTTTTTGGATGACTTGGTGATAAACAGATTAACCGACTAAGTGGTAAACTGGTTGACTGATCAATGGATAAACTGAGAAACTGACTGCCTGACTGACACATGATACTTCATGGAGTCAGAAACTCTCTAGCTCTCTAGGAAAATGCTGACTTGGTTTCTTCGTCAAACTTCACATCTCGCAATTTCCCACAGCCGTTCATCAAATTCCTCTCTGTGGATTTCTCTATAGCCCCAGTCGTGCGCTGATGCTAAGGGTTTGGGTCCTCGGCCGGTGGTCCGTCTCTCTAGCGGTCAGCGTGTCGTCTGTGACACAGTGACGGACCAGGGTGGATGGATCGTAATACAGGTGAGTACAGGCTGATATAATATATGTAGGTACTGGCTAGTACAATACAGGTGAGTACTGGCTAGTACAATATAGGTGAGTACTGGCTAGTACAATACAGGTGAGTACTGGCTAGTACAATATAGGTGAGTACTGGCTGGTACAATATAGGTGAGTACTGGCTAGTACAATACAGGTGAGTACTGGCTAGTACAATATAGGTGAGTACTGGCTGGTACAATGCATGTGGATACTGGCTAGTACAATGAAGGTGAGTACTGGCAAGACCGCTCCCCCGGAGGCGAGAGGATACAATATTGTGTGGAAATTGTTCCCTCTCAACTAGGGTTCGAGGATCCTGTGTCGGAATCTCCATTACTTCATGTTTAATTAAGTATTAAGTCTATAACCTGGTTGTCAACTTGCTACCTACAACCCCCTTACGAAATCCGCAACATAATATCTTTCACTGTACTGTCTACCTACTACTAAGGTCCTCTCTTCACTTGTCTTGGCCCGCAGGAATAGGCTAGGACTAACAAGGTCACCTTAGCAGAGACAGTGCCTCCATTTCGGAACCTCACGGTGACATTAAAGATGGTTCCAGTAGGGAACGGGATGGTGGGTGCCCATACCCCTCGTGACTCATCAGAGCAGAGGAAGATAGGACTAACGTTAAAATTATTTATAAAAACTAACAGAAACATGTCTTCTCAATAATTATATACATAAACACCATCCCACATCATCACTTAACACCACCACCACCGTCATTTCTAAAGTCAGTATTGCTCTCAGATCCATCACAAACATCTATAATAATAATCTTAAATATCTACATGTAGCGGTAAAGTTATATATTATAAAAATTATGAACGTGATGCATTAGTGGGCAATATCATACGCACATTTGTCTACTAATCAGATGGCGTCATTACCATAGAAATGGGCAAGGGACAGAAAAGAGTACTGGCTAGTGCAATACAGGTGACTACTGGCTAGTGCAATACAGGTGAGTACTGGCTAGTGCAATACAGGTGAGTACTGGCTGGTAGCATAGGGGTGAGTGCAGGCTAGTACAGTACAGGTGAATTCTGTCGCAGTACCATACAGGTGAGAGCAGGTTGGTACACTACAAGTGAGTACTGGCTAGTACAGAATAGGGGAGTACTGGCTGGTAGCATAGGGGTGAGTGCAGGCTAGTACAGTACAGGTGAATTCTGTCGCAGTACCATACAGGTGAGAGCAGGTTGGTACACTACAAGTGAGTACTGGCTAGTACAGAATAGGTGAGTACTGGCTGGTAACATGGATGTGAGTACAGGCTAGTACAATACAGGTGAGTACTGGCTAGTACAGTACAAGTGAATATTGTCTTAGCACCATATAGGTGAGAGCAGGTTGGTACACTACAGGTGAGTACTGGCTAGTACAGTATGGGTGAGTACAGACTAGTACAGTACATGTGAGTACTGTCTTAGTACCATGCAGGTGGACACAGGCTAGTACAGTATAGTTGAGTACAGGCTAGAACAGTACGGGTGGTTACAGGCTAGTAAAACGCAGGTAAAGTCAAGATTACTTTACTGTAAAAAAAAGGCTGTGTTGTTAATCAACGATTTTCCTAGCAATAAAAGTAAGTGTGTGTACAGTACACCGTACGTGCCTCTACGAAGATATACTATGTGAGGCAGCGTGGTGAAATCAAATGCTCGTCAAATTAAATGGAATCGGAGAAATCAACATTTCCCCGCACCTTTGTCAGTTTTTATTGATTTTTTTTCCTTTTTTTTGGGGGGGGGGGGGTTTAATACCTTTTATGTCCATTTAAAAACATATTCCTGTGTGGATTTTATTTTAAAATGTTTATCAAGAGCATAAACAAGTAAATTTGCTGTTTCCAAGAACTCTCAAGCTTTGGAAGTCACCAAACGTTGGCGGCCATTTTCTCGCTTATTTAACGTTTAAAACCAGGCGACCCTAACTTTTTATAATCGCAAATATCTCACCTTCTATTCAAGATAGATGGCATTGTTTTCATCGAAAACAAAACAAAAATAGATAAGCTTTACGATTACACCAAAAACTTCGCACGTCCAAAAATTGACTACCGCCTGATTCCACCACGTCCCGACACATATGTGGTTGTAATGTTTCAAAGTTTCTGTTTCTCAATAAACAAGAAATAGTAAATGTAATAAACAAACTCCCACGACACAATAGCATTGAAACCGTCTTTCGACTCACAGAACTGTCGTGAAACATTACTGGTAACTTTAGACGAACAATTTTTTACTTAAGAAGTAACTAAAAGCTCAGCCAGATAACTCAAATAATGTGATTTAGCACAGTAAATGACATTAGGCCTTACTTAGAAAATGACGAAATGTTCTTGTATGTCTGCAGAGACGTGCTTCGGCCAACGTGGACTTTTTCCGTGGCTGGGAGGACTATAAAAAAGGATTTGGAGACCTACACGACAATTTCTGGCTCGGGCTAGAGAAAATCCATCAGTTGACAAGTCAGGCAAGTTGTTAACGATTTAAAACTTACTGCACTAGACTGTTCAAATCACGTGCGTGATAGTGTACTTACTTACTTGAATATTTCAATGTAGAACTGGGATCCTAGGATGACAGGGTGCTCCATGCTTCCTCATCCCTCTTCATAGCGGTCCATTTCAGTGTGGGCAAGCTGATTGTCTCCATCATGAGTTGATTGCTGTAGTGTCTGATGGGATCACGCAGGCTGCTTCTCCTGCCTCCATCAGGCTGTACTCCTTTCTCAGTCATAATCTCATAAGTGAAGGATTCCTCTTCACGGCTGCTGGTTAGGTAATCTCGGACAAGGGCTGTTACAGTTGGAGGATCAAAGTTAAGCACTCCCTTTATGTTTGCAGAGCCTGCTAGCTTATCTGCTCTTTCATTTCCCTTGACGCTTGAATGTCCTGGGCAGAAGATCCACTGAGAGCGTCTGATTTTGATGTCTTGGATTGTCTTAAATCAAGCTGCATACAGGCTGCGGGTTAGGATCTTATCCAGAGTACTCATTGAGTCTGTAAGAAAGGTAACCTGCTCGTTTCCATTTGTGCGAAGCCACTTCAGAGCCTCGGTGGTGGCTTTGATCGCCATGCACATGCTTGATGTAGTGAAGCCCGTTGCCTCAGATGCCTCCTGGATTGTTACTTCTTGGCAAGAAGCCGTGTAAGCCCAGCCTGATTTGATCCCACGCTGAACAGAGCCATCATTGATGGTGTAATTCAATTAACTCTCCAAACCACGTGACAGGGTAATACAATCTACCGTCCAAAACTACGTGGCAGCACGGGCACCGTTGTTGTTGCTGGTGTACGTGTTGCTGTTGCTGTTGTTGTTTTTGTTGATGTACGTGTTGCTGATGTTGTTGTTGATGTACGTGTTGATGTACGTGTTGTTGTTGTTGTTGTTGTTGTTGTTGTTGTTGTCGTTGTTGTTGTTGTTGTTGTTGTTATTGTTGTTGTTATTGATGATGATGATGATGATGATGATGATGTACGTGCCGCTGCTGTTGTTGTTGTTGTTGTTGTTGTTGTTGTTGTTGTTGTTGTTGTTGTTGTTGTTGATAATGATGATGTACATGTTGCTGTTGTTGTTGCTGTTGTTGTTGATACTGATGATGATGTACGTTCTCTTGTTGCTGTTGTTGTTGTTTTTGTTGATGTTGTTGTTGTTGTTGTTGTTGTTGTTGTTGTTGTTGTTGTTGTTGTTGTTGTTGTTGTTGTTGATGATGTACATGTTGCTGCTGTTGTTCTTGTTGATGTACGTATTTCTGTTGTTGTCGTTTTCATTGTTGCTGTTGCTGTTGCTGTTGTTGTTGTTGTTGTTGTTGTTGTTGTTGTTGCTGTTATTGTTGATGTGCGTGTTGCTGTTATTTATCATGATGCTTGCTCATTTTGGAAGAACACCGTGTTACTTCTTCTCCTATTATTATTCCCAACCTGCTTTGGCTGGTTCTATCGGACGTGGACGTAACAACGAAGCTCCCATCTCTGAAATAACCTGACAGTTTTTAAGCAGGGGTGTCAAACCCACACCATGTAGAAATAGACACCCCAATCCCCGTTTGCTCCCTCCTCTGGGCTCCTGACTCTTTTCTGCAACCTTTTTACTGCTACTCTTTGGCCCTTTCTTACTGCTGTCTTTCAGACACACCCCTGACCTTAAGGTAGGTAAGATCTAACACCTAGCTTTCTCGGAAAAGGATGAAAAGTCTCTGAGGTCCTGTGTGCAAGCTGAGCATGTTAAAGATCCCTTGGTGGTCTAAAATCGATAAGAGTAGGCATCGGCCGCCACCCGGGCAAAATTCAAAATTAATCCCTACCAAACTAAAAATGTTGAATGTGTCCCACGCGTTCAGATTACCCTATGCAGTTGCGAGCGCCGTAAAACACTTGTTCCCGTGTTCGAACCTGGATAGCGACAGAATTTTTTCTTCTCTAAATTGTCTCCTTTCACCTCCTTTCCTGCTCTCTAGCAATGTTCTGTCGTCTGCTTTCGTCTCCACTTTCTGCCCCCACCCGCTCACCACATTTGCCTCCTCCTCTGGGCTCCTGACTCTTTCTGCAACCTTTCTACTGCTTCTCCTTGGCTCCTTACTGTTGTCTTTCAGCCACACCCCTGATCTTAGGGTAGGAAAGATCTGCACCTAGCCTTCTCGGAGGTCCTGTGTGCAAGTTGCGCACGAGATCCCTTTGTGGTCCAAAATCGATAAGAGTAAGCTTCAGCCACCACCCGCGCAAAATTCAGAATGTCCTACCAACTAGTTGCGAGCGCCGTAAAACACTTACTTAAAAGAAAAGAAAAAGAAGGGAAAAAAAGGGCGGTGGGAATATTGGTCTCCAGATTTTTTTTACAGTACATTTAACTAACGATGTGAATACAGACTCAGATCTGCAGAAGGCAAAGAAGAAGTGATGACATCGCTAAACGATCAGTTTGTGTTTAGATTTGGCTGTTTTTATCTAGCCTTTCGAGGCCAAGAGCCGATGGTATAATCGTACCATTACCTGATTATAGGGCGGTAGAAGTCGATAAAAAAAGACAAGCAGCCATGAGATTATTAGCAGTCAGTTCTCCTTCCCTTTTTGAGGTACTCTATCAGTCCTGAATGTTACCTTACATAATGAGTGTTTGTGAATGCTTATACTTCTCCCCCCCCCCCCCCCAACTACCTTTTTAGGTAGGCTCTACCAGTTTAATTGTAAGCTTGCATAGTCGGTGAAATCTACAGAGAGGAATTTGATGAACGGCAGTGGGAAATGGCGAGAGGTCAAGTGTGGCGGAGATATCAAGTCAGCATGTTCCCAGAGAGCTAGAGAGTTTGGGAATCCTTCTACTTCTCCACCCACCCACCCCCCTTACCTTTTTAGGTAGGCTCTACCAGTTTAATTGTAAGCTTGCATAGTCGGTGAGTGTGACTGCTAATGAGAGTGGCCCAAAGGGTGTGAGTAGGATATTTATGTGACAATGATATAGGTTCAAGTGTTGTGCACACTGTCCATTGGCTCATGGGTTTGATGTTTTTGTTTGTTTGTTGTTTTGTTTGTGTGTGGGTTTATTTTCATTTTTAAATAAGTGTTTTATGGCACTCGTATAAGGTTATGTGAGCACGCGTTAAACATTTTACTATTGGTAGGAATTTTTTTAATTGGATCGGGTGGTGGCCGAAGCCTACTCTTATCGATTTTGGACCACCAAACATGGTTAGAGAACAGGAAAGGATGTGAAAGGAGGAAATTTTAGAGAATAAATTTTCCGTCGCTGTCAGGTTTCGAACCTGGGACCTATTGAATGAGAGGCAAATACCTTAACCTCTAGAGCACGAGAGCCCAAATGGCTATTGATGATATGAATGTCTATATAAATTGACTGCGACGAAGTTCCCAGATTACGGAAAGGAAGCAGTAATTATTTGATTATATAGACGCTTTGCCTCTGATTGTAAACATGGTGGTGGTGATAGTTTTAGTAATGGTAGCGGTAGAAGTGGTAGTGGTAGTTTTAGTAATGGCAGTGGTAGTAGTTGTAGTAATAGTAGTGGTAGAAGTGGTAGTTGTAGTTGTAGTTGTAATAATCGTAGTGATAAAATACTGATGTTTTTAGTTGTTGTGGTGGTAGCAGGAAGAGTTGGAAAAGTCTTTGTTGTTGGTGGTGGTGTTTTTGTTGTTGTTGTTGTTGTTGTTGTTGTTGTTGTTGTTGTTGTTGTTGTTGTTGTTGTTGCTGCTGCTGCTGTTGTTGTTGTTGTAGTTTATTGTTGTTGTCATTATTGTTTCCCAATGTCATTAATGTTTTGATGGCTTTTTTGTTGCTTTTAGAATGCCACTGTCGGTAAGATCTAACACCTAGCCTTCTCGGACAAGGGCGAAAAATCTCG